CACGCAAGTGGCTGGCGCTGCTCGAACTTTCGTCTAGGCTTGCCATACACGTCCGATATGCGCGCACTGGAACAAAATTGCGCGTAAACAGCGCAGGGACGAAGAACAGCTAGGATCCTAACTGAGTGTGAATGCCATAGAGAATGCCACATTGCAGTTTGACTGACAGGTTGACCAAGTGATGTCTTTAGTTGGCAACCCTCAAAGCCATGACTTTTGGCGTACCGTGATAGATGCAAGCATGTCAGATTGTTTACACTCGGTGACTGGCTTCGTGCAAAATTTACCCGAAATTGAGGAGAAGACAACTTGATCGCTGAGACAACACTTTTATTCGTCTGACGTTTCGAGATCCGTCGCGGATTCTTCGTCACTTACATGAGCAGAAAGCAGTAGCAGATAGGGTAGCATAGGCATAGGAATTTGCCGTATTTATAGCATACAGTCATTACTGCAAATATAAAACGACAATTAGTGGTAATTGCCTTCTTGCGCGTTGATAGTTTGTTGACCGGCAAGCGGGCTCTGACTTCCTCATCAAATTTGAATGAGCCGCGGCAGCAGGGCGGCGAAATGACGCCAATCCTCAAGTTGCGGCTCATTTGACGGGATCCGGCCACACATTCACATTTGATGAGACCGAAATTCTCGCAAGATGTGACAATCGGGTGAACCGAGAACTACTTGAATCGTGGTTCACGGGCCCCCAATCCATAAACAAATGCAAGTCACCACTTGAGGAATGCACAGGCCACTGCGTCGTTTTATGCCAACAGCGGAGAGGCAGATGGCCGAGCAATCATCACGCCCGAGTCCACCACGCGTGATGAAAGTTCAGAAAGTCAGAGCCCGCCTGTCGGTCAAACTATCAACGCGCAAGAAGGTAATTGCCGTTAATTGTCGTTGTAGGTTTGCAGTAATGGCTGTATCCTATAAATACTGCAAATCCCTGGGCTTATGCTACCCTATCTGCTATTGCTTTCTGCTTATGCCTCTGACGAAGAATCCGCGACAGATCTCGAAACGTCAGTCAAGTAATGAGTGTTGTCCCAGCGATCGAGTCGTCTTATTCTCAATTACTTCCTGGAACTCGCATATTCGCTTGTATTACCCGAAATTCTGAATTGCGTTTAGGATTACTTAAATGGGATTGTACTACTAACTACCGTGCACTTTAGTAGTGCAAAGATATTGAGGACACACCAGGATGCTGACTCTCAAACGAAGGCCCTCTCGGCTCCCCGAAAATAGGGGACTCGGTAAAACAAAATGACTACTGGGGAAAGCCTATCTTCATATCTCTAATTTAATCTTTAAAATTCGATATAGAATCCGTATACTATTGTGGCCAATTTGCGCGTACAGTTTGCGCAGTTCTTCATTCCTATTGGTTGTATTTGTTACTTTGATTATCGCGTGATTTTTGTTACCAAACATTAGGTTATTTAAATAGCCGTGCCTATTATCCCCTACTTTTATAGGTTCTTTTTTTCCTTTCCTTGATATGTCCCACCTAAATTACCACGGGTCCCGTATTACACAAACGAGGATTTTTATTACTGTGGTTTTCTTTTTAAGGAATCCGTACTGAGCGTTCCCGTGGTATTAGTTGATGGAATTAATTTCCTCAGCGTTACCACGTCCTATATGACGCCTGCTCACTCATACGTAATGGGATCTGCTGCGCCCCTACGAGGCGAAGTTCGTTGAACTACCTTGGCCAACGTCCCCTGTAGGGTCGCCTCTCTTTGAATTTGACATGGTACTGAAGCTCAATGTTGTGATGTGCACTCCTCTTTATATGCCGAAAAATTCGGGGTCCAGATATGTTGTCGCGTTCATCATCTCCTAAAGATGAGGAACAAGAAGACGGGGTGCGTTAATGGACCAAATTGTATTTGAACTGACGTTTCGGAACCCTTCTCGCTTCCATCGTCAGAGTATTGTGGTAGCTGCGTCTGGTGGTCTCGAATTAGCCAGCCTTGCCTTCTGCTTCGTATTATATCGGTGTTGGACTTGCGAATTCTGACCTGCCCGTTCTTTGCCGACCACAATTGGTCTCCCAGAGGTTGGCTTGCGTGACCTTCGTCCCCTCTGCGGTCAGCGTAGTTGTATGCGGATTAATATGCTTGCTGGCCTCCCCCACGTCAACCGGCGGACTGATCACTCGTTACTGTTCACTTGAGTTGTTCATTGCCTCGCGAGTTCGACGATGAGGCAGTGTTTGATGTTGGCCGCGTGATCTACGACTTCCATCCGTATTTTCTGTGAGCGTAGGCTCTCGGTTCTGTGTACTCGTTTACCCTACTGTCTCTGGCTGACTTGATCCGAGCCTTGTGCGAAGCGCCTGGTAGGCGAGGTTCAAGTCGATAGCTCCGTTGATTGTGCCAGTGGTAGACCAACTTGCCAACACTAGCCTGGTCATTTTCTTATATACTTTGTAAGTGATTTTAGAGACCTAAAGCTGGTTTCCACATCATTTCAGACCTCAAGGTAATCCTCAGCGCGGAGATAAACAGATCAGCCCCTGCCCTCATGGGATTTGGCGTTCAATTGGAACGGTGACTACCACGCGTCTAGGGAACCTGCCTTTGCCTCATCGTTTTCAAAGCGTCAACGAGAGTGCCCCATCAGCAAGTCTTGTCCTCGGGAACAGCCCATTGTGTCTCCAGTAGCATGTTGCAACCCCCACACCCTAGGTCTTTATTTTAATTTATTTACAAAAGATGTTTACTTTGTTTTCCGTATACACGGCTATCTTTCCTGTTTCATACTTCTCCTCCAAAATTACGCAAAATATGACAATAAACATACTTTGACGTCACTTCTGATTAATCCTTTAGATTCCCCCTCCTCCAGGCTTCCGAGCACTGCTGTCTCCTCTTGAGTTTCAATTGCGTTGAGTATTGTTACGGAACAAGAATTAGTAGGCACAAAAATGGAGAATTTAATTACGTGGTCGTGGGACCAAGAGGTCGTTTGTCTCGAGGTTGTTTTTGGTGTGGAGTAGAAAAAACTGGTAAGCACTCGTACAGGCAATGTTTTAAAACAGTTCAAAAACAAAATTCGAAAGGTTGGTTAGTCTCTTCAAGGAATACACTCCGCTTGCTGCTCGACCACTTCGAAATATCGTTCGAAATTACTGGGGCAATCGTGAAATCTTGTGTGAGGCCTCGTTGGGCTCGATAACATCAAGCATTTTTACAACAATATAGTGGGTTCTGGAGGGGGGGGGGGGCAAATAAAACTGGTTTGAGGGTGAATAATGCACGAAAGGGGGATTGGGGAGGGAAGGCGGTTGGTAGGCTACTTCCCACTAAATTTCTGCCGAAGTAGCATGATGGAGGGGGCGATGCCCACGGAATTGGACCGTGTGCTTCTGGCGGTGGTGGTGGTGGTACCGGTTCCAGTAGAGACCGGTGTTTTCTTCAGGGTCACACCAACGAATTCGGGGGTTTTGGACTGTTTCGAGGCAGCCGTACTACTACTGGGGGCTTCCGAATGCCGCC